CTACCCACGCTGAGGTCTCCGGGATCTGCATCCCTGATGAGCACAGGAGCCTACACGTGGGCATACCTGGCCCCCACTACTCCCCCAGCCCTCAGAATTACCCACTAGATGGTGGGGGCTGGGGTTAAGGCGCCCTGACATGCCTTTCACCGGGGCGGTAACTGGCCCGGCATTTCCTGGGAGCTCCCACGCTGCCAGGAGGCCCACCTGGCCACCCTTGCTGGCAGGGTGCAGTTTTAGGTCATGCCCAGGACCAAGAGCCTCCTGCTCTTCCCTCTAGAGTTTCATACCTCTCAGCCAGGTGATGTTTCTACCTGGGTTGGCAGCAGCAAACTGCAGCCTTTATAGCCTAGTATTCCAAAATGGCTGTCCTCATCAGGCACCTGGTAGCTAGCTGCCTGCCTCTGCCCCTAAAGTGGCAGGCACCCAAAGGTGCACTACCATAGACCTCTTCAGTCAAAGACGCATCTAAACAAAACACTTAGGGCAGGCGTAGACTAAATGAAACATAGGCCCTAAATTGAAGCGGTGGGTTTTTAAAAACGTTGCTTCAATTTAGGGCCAAGTAAACCCCTGCGCTGTACACACACCCAACTTACCTGCCTCTCCAGTGGGGAGGGAGGGCGTGCTCCCAGGCAGCACCTGCCCACAGGCAACCAGCTCCTGGGGGCACCGCAGCCAGGGAGTGAAGCACTGGGCCCCCACTCAGCTCAGGCAGGCAGGCAGGCTCCAGGGGAAAACCCCTCCAAAAACTAGGCTCTCTGCTTTTCTTGGGCAAAGTCTGCCTTCCCAGACTGCTGCCAGGCTGCCTGCAGGGCTTCCTGCACAGCCCCTGAGCTGCATGGAGCCCGGTGCTTCAGTCTGAGGTTGTAGGGGCAGCAAACTAAAACTCCTCAGAAAAGTTTAAGTTTGCCGTGCCACAAGTCATTTAAGGTGCATTACGCTGCTGAATTTCCTACAGCAGCTGGAATTAATGCACAATACACCACCGAGCCGTGCAAACACTGTCACCAGTAAAGCAGTACAAAAGCAGTCAGCCTGCTTTAAAGTGTCATGCACCCAAGCCCCTCATTTCATCTACACATGGGCTTACAGACCCAAACTAACACACCACAGATACCTCCCAGATAACAACCTGTACAACAGGTGAACTGGGACAGCACTAGCACTCACTCCCAGAGGACTCCCTCTCTTTCAGCCAGAATTTGCCTGGAACCTGAAGGCTGGGTGCAGAGTCATGTCACACAGCCTCCATACAACAAAGATTTCAGGAGCATTTTAAAATTCTGTCTTAGGTTGATTATGCTGTGTCCAGACAATGTAACAGATAACAGGTGTAAAGCTGCATGAATTGAAGTGTGCTGGGCATTTTATTCAGTCTTGGCTGTTAATATTTTAATGTGCATAAGGTGCTAATTTTCCAGCATGACATCTGCATTGTACAGTTCATGGAACTGTTTGTTTCTCATTTCCTGGATTCCTCTGCAGCAGCCTGAGCTCGGAGCAAAGGACACTTTTGCTAAGAACATGGTTGGAAGAAGGCGTGTCCCCCGCACCACCTTCATCAGCAAAGCGACCCACATGCAACAACTGTCCATTACTTCCCTATTTGTTTCCCCCCCATCTTATTCCTTGAAAATCCTCCTTGTTCAGCAGCATAAGCAATACATCCCCTGCACCCATGTCTCAGGCTGCCTTTTCTTATCAGTTATTAATAACCATCTCCTTACCATATCAGCCCTTCTGGGCAGAAAGCAGGGCAGAAGGCCCACCAATCACAATCACACACAACATTCAACAACAGCCCAGTATCTAAATTCCCAGAGTGGGCAGCATTTCTTCCTCTGGGAGATGAGTGGAGAGAGGCAGGATCTCTCTCATGGATGCCCTGCACTGGAGATCCAGTAGTCTCTACTCCACACTGAGGCAGTGTCAAGAAAAGGCTGATCCCCTGTTAGGACAATCCAGTGTATGACCTGAACCCCCTAACCTGGCCTACAAGAGCTCACCAAAACTCTCTAAGTGGCCTCTGGTCCAAATAATTGCCCACCTCTGAGTTACACTGTCTGCCACACGCAGCTTCCTGCCGATTCTTGCTTCCCCTTTTCTCATTCTCTTACCCTCAAGAACATCCGCCAGCACATCTGGAAACAACAGGACAGGGCAGAACAGTTTTCTCCTTTCCAGTGTAGCAGCTCATCTGCGTAGCTGCAGATCAGCTAAGAACACCAACAGTGAGCAAACCCCCCACAGGCTGGTGGAAAGTAAAAAGTTTCACTTTCTAAACAGAATCTCCACCCATCACTCTCTACCAGTGTGAACTATGCTTCTCCATTCCTTTTCTCGGCTTTTTCTTCAAAAGTATTCCCTGCTCATTTCCTCTCCTGCAGCTCAGAGAAAGTCTCCTTTCCCCAACTTCTCCATTCCTTAAAAAAAAACACAAATAAAAATCTTTTTTTCCCCCCCTGTATCCAATAAGAAATAGGACAACAGTAAAAAAAACCCCAAAAACCTTAATAGAAGCATTTACTAAGTGGTGAGCTTTTTAAAGCAGTCTCATATCTTTTGGTGTATTTCCTGAACACTTCAAAGCAGTTCCCCATTGGTTTCCTTCACAAGCAGCCAGTTTTGACAAAATGCCCAAATATATATTTAACAGCTTAACTTTTATCACTAAAGTTTGAAAATGTGGGTAGAAGGATTAGCCCAGGTGATTGAGGGGAAGGACACACAGGAGCAGTGCTTTGTTCTGTTATTGCATAGGAAAGAAGACAGCCTTAATACATGTGGGTTCCCAAAAGACTCCAAGCTCCCTCATTATCTGTGACTTCAGGCTGGTCTTCCTGATAAAAGAATGAAAATGTTCTATTTGACTTATATTACTACACTCATAAACAAATAAATCCATATATAACTGTATCTGCTCTGATCCCATTGATCAGGATACAGGATGCAGGACATGGTTTCTTATACTTCTAATACAATCCCAGAACTGTAACCACTTAAATGAAAGAGTCAGACTTAGGCCCTAGTCTGGCTTCCTGCAGTACTGACCTCATGACAAGGAAGGCAGCAGGATCCCTCTTGCCACTGTTGGCTTAGAAATGGTATTTAAGGGTTTGCTTTTTGGGAATTGGCTTATATATTATATATATATATATATGCAGTAGAATGGTTCTGGATGGGAAGCAGGAGTTAACTGATTTCTAAGAGTCGGAGTCACACAGTCACATAATTTCACACAGCCTTGGAAGCAGACAGGCTGTCTAACACCACAAGGCCAAAGACACATATTCTGGAAAACAGGGGAACATGCACCACACTGTTCCATAACAAGACAAAGTGGCACCAGCTAACAAGGCCCCAAAGCAGGGGGAGCTGAGTCCCAGATTTGGGGAACAGACTGAGGTGACAAAGACAGCACAAGTCCGTCCAGACTCCAAAGAGCCCAGTACGCACCAGCAAGGGACAGAGCCTGAACTGATACCATGTGCAGTGCTGCAGCACCACTTTTTATCCACACTGTCGGTCCAGCTCGGCAACACCCAACTGATGACATCAGCCCTGGTCACCACCATGGGGAGTTTAAAATGCACAGATGCTGCCAAAGAGAAGAAGCGGAGGAGATATGGACCTGAGACTGGAAAGAGT